ATGTGTATATATGTGTACGTTTAGGATATGATTCATATTGTCTTAATAAAAAAGGACTTGTTAAATAATCTGGAGGATTTACCCTGTGTTGAGGCGATCAACATAAACTACTATCTGGTGCTGCACACGTTATAGGCTACGACGAGCCAGATGAAAGCTTTCAAAAGCCTCAGAGCTACAATAATTTTGTTTCAGGTTGGGTCAAACATTTAGGATCCAAAGAAACTTTAAATGTCTGTTGACTTGTTTCTGCCTGAGTGAGTTGTGCTGTTTTAAGTAGTTAGCCTATGATAACAATGCTAATGCTAACGCCAACAAGAAGTTACACCTGTTATTTCTATGTGCTTAGATCTACTTGCAGATAATTTATTTAGCTTCTGTAAACCTAAATTCAAGTATCCAGGAAAATATCTGACTATGATTTAAATAATACAATCCTTATGTGTAAGAAAGTGGTCACTGCAAACTGTTGCATTGTTCGTTTCCGCCCCTCCTGTTTTTAGCCCTAGATTGTCATCCACTTTTGTCCTATTTTTTTCCTGCAAGTTTTTAAAATTTAACTCCCTTGTGACASACTACTTTCAGAACATGAAAAAAAKCCTTTGATATTTCTCCTGATTAGAGTGGTTGTAACACACAGAATTTAGGCATTTTGACACTGAATCAACAGAAGGAAACATGGCTTCCTTTACTTCCTGCRCCCATCTGCATTTCATGACATCAACACTACATCATCTGCAACCCAGCAATTTACAATTTAATTTTAGAGACCAAAATGGTTCGATTAAACAACTCTCCGAGAGGACGTGATTTATRGCAAAATGGCTTGCCATACTCGCACAGCTATTGGACAAAGAAAACTGAAACGCTGTAATGTCATTGGCTAGCGTGGCACTATCCCCAAAATCTGACGAATCAAAACTTTGGTAGGCGGGGCTTAAGTGCTGGTGACAGAGGGAGGGGGAAGTGTTGGTTAGTGCCGCCGTCTGTTGCTGCTGCTGGGTACAGACGGAGTTTCAAAGGTCGGGCTGGTTCAGTCGGTGCTGTGTTGACCGGACTTCGGTGTTTACTTCTGTTTTAAACAAGCCCCTCTGGATCGACCGGTGAGTTTTGTATCTCGAGTGATTTAAATTAAGCTTGCTGTGGAGTTAATGTTAATGTAACTTGGACGTAGCTGCGCGTCCTGTCAAATCAATACAGAGACGATAGATGGAAGCGCTAACGTGTTAGCTAACTCCTGTATCATTGCTTTGATACGTGGTGGTGTGCGTGCAGTGCGGAACAAATGTTCGTGTTCCCCTTGAACCTTTTGAAGTTGAACCGACAGCAGTGCCGGCGTTATTTCACTTAAAGTTCTCTTTATCTTTATCTTTGATGTCTGAGTTGATTTTATTTGGACAAACTGAGTGAGTGGGAAAAGCTGTAGGACGCAGAGTGACAACACTACAGGCAGGTGGCTGAAGTCGAATATTCTTTAAATATCTTAATACATGTCGCCTGTGAAACCTGTTACCTTTTGGCTGCAGCAGACACATAAAAGCTATAGTCTGTGAGGTGAACTTGTTTTTAAGTGAACGACTTCTGGTCAGTGGTGAAATACTCCTCATTCCTTCATAAACAATAGTTAATTGCGTGTAATTAATTAGCACCAGCATTTCCAGTCTTCAGAGTTATGACTTGAATGGTGACACCTCTATGTTTATTGTTTTGTTGTTTGAGAAATTGATGGAGACTTGAAATTTTGCTAGAACTAGTGTCAAAATGAATTTCAGTTTCAAGCTGTGATATGCATAACTCAGAAAATTATTCCTAACATTTTTTACTTTTGAAACCAGTTTGTGCTTTTTTTTCCACAGGTCTGAATCTTGAACTGAAAGTGTTCACTTTGTCTAAATCAGTGGTTCCCAAACTTTTTGTCTTCTGACCCACAAAATATCCACGGCAAAAAACTTGTGACCCCAAATATTACTGGTCTGAGTACACAAACTTCGTTAATAACCCTAAAAACACAGGCGTTTTGACAATCTAAACAGTTTTCACACAAAAAATAC